CCAATCAATGAAGAAAAAAAACTTAACTACTCTAATGAGTCTTTTTTTAGCGTTGAAACCTGGAATTACCACTTCTTTTCTCAACCAAAACATATATATGCAATAGCAGCATGCAAATTTACAACCACCCCAAAAAATTGCTTGTGCATAGCATCTACAGTAAAGTAATAACAAGTGCTCTTTGAAATTTATGCGAATTTACTGATTCATGGTTTCATAATAAAAAAATACTTCCATGTTCTAAAAGGTAAACTATGTTTTGCCATTTTATAAAGGGAAAGTCTATGAGGCAGAAGCGCCTCGATTTCATGAAGAAGGGTGCTCTTTTTCTAAGAGACAGTGATTGTCTTCCTATTGATCACGGTACCGTCAGCACATTTGATGAACGGAGTTGAAAGCAACTGCCACATCTACCACGCAGTCCTGATCTTGCTCCGAACTATTTTCTCGTGTTTGGGCCTTCGGCAACTGGAAGGTCAGCTTTTCATCAATCAGAAGAGAACGATACTGTACAAAACTAGTTGAAGTGCAAGACAAAACATTCCTTGCTGAAAGAATTCTGAAGCTTATAAAGCGGGACAAGTGCGTATGTACACGAGTCGAGAATATTACTTTCAAAAATAGAAAAACTCAAAAGCCATACAAATTTATATGTTTGATTTTTACTTTTAAAGTCCACCCTGAGCTACCGTCGTAATACAGGAGACAGACTTACAGATACATTTTTAATATTTTTAATGGTCAGGAATATAATTTTCATATACATTTCGCTTAGTAAAATTAAATGTGTTACAGAGAACAAGTGCAAAATGTGATATAAGAAAGAAAATGAATTAATGGATTGTTTAGTTTTTTTTGTTGTCAACTTCGAAGGGTTTCTTAACAATTTTGCAGGTAGTGTTGGAATATTTTTATTTTTTTACTTTATATCATACAAATTTGATATTTTAAAATATGTTAGAAAATGGGTTACTTGTTTACTTCACATATGTATTCCAAGGCATTTTTTCAAATATCTATATATTACAAAAAAACAACTTTTTAGATAAGTAACAATTTTCAAAATACAAATCAACAGTTGAATAAAATTTAAAATCTTCCTTGCAGAAATCGTAACATACATAGATAACCCGTTTCATAAAAACAGGAGAAAGTGGGAACAGTCACAACACTAAGGTTAAAGATATGTTATTCCGTAATTTCTCTCTACGAGCCGGTAATTTCTCTCTACGAACGGATCTAGCCATGAAAACACTAAATGAATAGTATCGAATTATCAGATAAGAGTTGTGCATTCGAAACAAGAAAATGTAGACGGTAGTACCTTAGAGACATCTGAGGGAGTGAACGTCACCTAATATTTCAACAAAACAAGCATCGTGATTCAAGATTAAATTTGTAGACGTTCGAGATTCAAAAAGAGAAAGCTCTCTTACGTAGCAGATCTCAGTCATACGCAACTTACGTAATGCATGTGCTCGAAATTAATTTGAAGGTAACGTTAACGTTAACGATCTTGGAGGCGAATAAATCGCACAACGTGCAACGGAGGCATTATGAACAGTTCATTTCACATTGCAAGGGTGTAAAGGTGCTGTCTCATTATAAAATACCAAAGATAAAAGTTTGCATAACATATATAACATAAGACATGAAGAGTGAAGACACATACAAATTCCTAAAAATTCGGAAAACAATGCACAGAAAATAGTCGGAGATTAACTTTCCCGCAAGAGGCGTAAATCAGGTAAACGAAAATGTGTGATTTAGTGTAGCAGCAACCGTGAAATTAATTTATATAAAGTCTGTACCCGTGATGTCAAGTTGGCCAACTGGTGGCAGTAGCATGACCCACACCACCATGGCATTTCACGAGCTTATTTGGTAACTAGTGTTAGGAGTTAGACGCAAGCTTCTGAGAGACGCAAGTTTGTTAATAGTGTTGGGGATTAAATACTCAATAAAATGAGCGTATTTTAAATGTTTTGAAAGCTTTGAGAAGGCAAATCGTTTCAGACTACATCCGTGAACTATTCGAAGAAATCTAGCGTAGCGGCACTGAAAGAACCATTCAGAGAATCTCGCTCGTCGGGATCAAACGCTGATTGGCAGGAAACAGGGTGAGATAGTGATCCGCGAATCCATTTATGCTTCGGAGCGCTGATTCTCGCAGTAAATAAAACTTTGTATGAAAGCATGTAATGGGTGTTGAAATGCCCTCCCCCCAAAAAAATCAGTAAATTAGCATAACTAGAGTATGCAGATTTGTGACACCCTGTTCTAGAGACAATTGACCAATCTCTTATTTTGAATATTGTAGTTTTGTAACGTTTACTTCCTGCAATTTTCGAAAATTCATATAGTTTGCCGGATATGGGACAAGCACAGTTTTTTTACCGTTCTTTGATACATCTGAGGAAAATTTTGGAGCTGTTTTTGAAAAAAGTAATTGTTTAAAAATTGCCTAAGTTTCACGCAAAACTACTTTTATTATGGAAAAATGTTCAAAATCTTCACGATGTCTTCGAACAACAGATTGCATTCAGGAAAAAATCTCAATCTTCAATATTGTAGTTGCAGGAAGACGCCAAACATGTTAAACACTTGCACATTTTTAAAATCAGGGATTTCACGGTAAATAAGAATCTTTTAAGCATCATTTACGCTATCTGAGAACGAAGTTTAATAAAAAAAGTTAGAAAAAATGTTTGAGAAACTTTTGGAAGTGTTGATGAGGATTCATGTAAAGTACTTCTCAAATTTCAAATATCCGATTCAACCTTGCAGGTCCTTGAATTTTTTCAGATCAATCGGGGAATATTGATTTTGGAGAAAATTGTTTGAACGGTTTAGGCTTTAACCACAGACAGACGGACGAAGAGTCAGACGTTTAGTCGACCATCAGTTTTTCGGTATCAAAGGCAAACAAATGCCAATTCCAACTATACAAACTGTTACAATTCACGACATAAATTAACACGATTTTTTCACTTTTTGGTCACCAGGCCCCGGCTATGAGAGTTTTTCTATCGAAGAATGGCCGTTTTCCGGCTAACGATTACAATACTTTCTCTTTTTACAAAATAAGCCGAGAAAGTAACAATATGAATAAACATCAAAGAAAATGTGCTTTAATTAATTTTTGTAACCCTCGCCTAATTGTACCTCGCCATTAAGTGTCAGAGCGATATTCATATTTGGTATCAGGTGACAAAGTGGTCGGTTACGTGGAGCAGAGAAATCATTCTTGCCATCGAATCTCACTGGAGGCAGCTTCCTTGGTATTCTGCACACCAAAGCGGGGATTCCTAACCCTGCCGCTATCGACCGCCTTGAAGTCGATGAAATTTTAAGGGGGTCAGTGATGATCAAGGGGTCGACTGGAAGTCAATAGCTGAATACAAATTGGCTGATCAAGATAGCATTCACTCCCCAAAATAAATTAATGGACTAAATAATTAGGTAAATGTTTCTGGTGGGAAGAAACAAAACATAATTTGCTAGAAAGTAGTTGCTCTTCTTTCGTACCCATCGTTCGCCCTTAGAGTCAGGGGCGTAGCTGGAGTAGTGACACCGGTGCAGCGGATCGGGGCCCTGTTAAGGCCCCCCTCTCTCGGGGGACGGCAAATAATAAACAAATTGTGTTCGACGTTTGTTTTTTCCATGGCGTCATCCATACGTATACCAATTACACTTAAAAAAATTATTTTTGCGTTTAGTAATCGCTGTCAAGGGTTCCATTTCGACTTTCTGCACCGGAGCCTCTGAGAGTCTAGGTACACCACTGCTCCGGATGGGTAGAAAACTCGACATTATAACATTGTATTAAAATTTTATTCTATGAAAATTATATCCATATGGATTACTACAAGATACTCTGCTACCTCCACGGAATTAAATATAATATCCGAAAACCGCACTTGGACGAAAATGGTACTGGTCAGTTCTTAAAAACGCTGAACATTTTGTAACTATTGCTCAACAATCAAGATTACATACTCAGCTACTCAGAAGCAAATGCATATTTGATATTGAATATCGAGATATATATGAAACTAATGGCGAACGAAATTGTAACATTTAAGGCTTTTATGTACAATTCGTGTTATGATAACGTATGCTGTTTGTTATGGATAAAGATGCACGAGTAAAAGGTGGGGAATCCCAGCACTAATATAAATAAAACACCTTGAGCTCCTAGCTTCTCTCCCAGACTTTCTCACCAAATATGCTGCTCCTTACCAATTACATATAGAGGTGTTTATTGACTTGAGGCTCATTCACAATGAAACAAACGTAATGGACGTTTCTGAATGGAACTCTTCATATCCGAGAACGCTAAAGTAAACATAGAATGTTACAGCTGAAAGTTCGCGAGCACAGAGCATTGACTATAATGAGACCAACTTACTGTCATGTTTCGCATCAAGATCGTGTCGTACAAAGAACTTCTAGTATTTTCGTTAGAAACGAATGTAGTTTTGTAAGAGAGCAAATTGCCATTCTTTATCGTTAGTTCTTGAAATTCTCTGTAGAATCATTCTTTGCGCATATGACGGCGAAATGACGGCAAAATAATAACGATAACGATAACGATAATGACGTAATAATAAATAAATTACGTTCATTTTTCTCGTCGTTCGATTGTACAGACAATTTCTGCGCCGAGTATGTGTTGCATGGACATGGATGAGTGTCTGCGTTCACGGTCATCGAGAGAATGACATGTTCACGCTGATGTTAAAAGAACCCGTCTACGTTTACTCGTCACTGCGAACGGTCCTGCGAACTACTTCACCTGCAAGTGCGTCTGCAGCTGGTGGGCGAAGAGCAGGTCGAGCTTGTCGCCGAGGTCGTCGTGGTGCGAGGTGGGCAGGCGGGTTGGGCTGCCGCTGGTCAACGCCACCGTCGCCGTCTTGGGGCGCGGGGGAGTCGCTACGGCGGCGGCGCCGGGGGCGGGCACGCAATCCGTTAACATAACACCGCACAACAGCACCTAGTCACCCAATATCAACCGTCACGCAGAGCCAGCGGAAGGCGCGCGGCCGCGAGGGCCGCCGCCACCGCCGCTTACCGCGCCGCCGCCGCGCCGCCGCCGCCTCGGCGGCGACGGGCGCGGAGGGCGGGCTCGGCGCGGAGACGACGGAGGCGGCTGCGCAGCGGCCCGCGCCACGGCCGGGGCAACCGGCGCGTGGCGTGCGGCACAGGCGGGCGGCGGCGCCGGCGGGGGCGGGCGGCCGGGCGCGGGAAGGCGGGGGCCGGGGCCCGGGGCCGCGGGGCGCGAGGCGGGGGCGGGGCACGTCAGTGACGCCGTAGCTGGCTTCCAAGCGGCCGACGCCGGCCGCCCCGGGCCCTGCGAGTCCAGGCACGGCGCGGAGCTCACCCCGTCGTGCAGCGACATGTCCGAGTTGAGGTTCCGGGCGCAGGTTCCTGCGCACACGCGGACACTAGTTGACATCACTTTGGGAGCCTTAGCTATTCGTTTACTTTTTTTATTATCGTTTACTTCCTTTTATTTTTATTTACTTAATTTATTCCTTTCAGGTGTTAATAAGTATGGTTGTTAGAGTTGGTGATAGTAAAAGCAAGTTATGTGACAAGCAAAGCAACGTGGGAACACATATGTGCTCAATGAATAAGGGGAAAGGATACAAATAATTGATTAGCGATTCTGGGCACGTCAACTGCGTCGTTAATTCGTCCCGTAAGTGTAGGGCATTTTATTTTTATCGCGGGAGGTGGCGGTGATCTTTCCCCGCTGGGTGGTGAGATCCGGTGACAACCTACGGCAGTTTTCCCCTACCAGGTATCTCCCACAAGCGGGCGTCGCTCCAGGCGGGACAAATTCCCGACTGGTCTCCCGGCATGTGTGGAGTGTATGTAAGTGAAAGTGCGTGTAAGTGAAGGGTGAGGAAAGAACAAGGGAAAGGAAGGAAATATCGCGCGTAATCCCTGGCTCAGCAGACTAGTTAGTGTCGAAAATCCTGAACCGTCGGGACTCAAATCCTAGGACCTCCCGCTCAGATGCATTGCGGTGACACCAGTTCATTCTCTGAGCTACCTTTGCCGGTAATACAAATAACCGGATCGATATTTACATGATGACATTTGCCTCTGACTGTTGGGTAACTCTTCTTGCACCGGTGATCAATAAGTGCACAAAATCTCTTCGCGTCAGAACTTGACTTGCCAAAAAAGTACACGCTGAGTTGCCTAATTATCAGCAGCAAATATCAATTGTGAAACTTTGTTATAAATTTTCCACTACACATATGTTGGCAAAAATTGTCCATCTCTACATTCCCTAGACGCTTGAAACATTTATTCTGAGGCATGTTTAATAAAATTAGATTATTAAATTATATAATCTCATATAATAATACTAATAATAATAGAAATGTGTACCTGTTGGCCACTTATAGATAAATCCAGAACATGTTCATTCAATGTATTTTGACAAGATAATTTTGCTTATTTTAAGACTTTTTAATTTACCTTCGTCGTTGTCATATTTTTTTTAACTTCTAAATTTTCATGTGATTTTTCAGTATTGCTGAAATCATGCATTTATAACAAATTTTTATTATATAAATATCGTATACAAATATTTTGGCATTTTTGGCAATTTTGGCAGAGAAGATCTTTCAGTAATGATAATTATCGAATTTTTTATTACTCTTTATAATTAGTAATAAAAAGTTGAAGGATGATACATAAAACCCCAAGTCATGCACATTTAATTCGTGTTCTAATGAATTGGCGAAATGATAGCACGGGAACTACTTTTTTAAATTATTATTATTATTATTATTATTATTATTATTATTATTATTATTATTAACAGGAAGTTAAGTCAACGTGCTTCATCAGTATATTGCTGTCTGAGAAACCCAATGGAATATTTGAAAGATAATATTTCCCTAGTGCTACTTCTTCCAACTTGAAAACTATATATCCGTATATGAAAAGAAAACTCGCTCAAATACGAAAGAGCTAAAGTTGTCCGTTTCAGAACGTGAGAGTTTCAGGAACGGTGTTTGCGGTCGGTAGTCAAGAAACCGCACTTATTTCTTATTTTCTTGCGTTTTCGATAATACATTGTAAATATATTCATGCATTAAAATAAATTATGATTTTTTAAATGTTGTATAACGTAAATTCAGAGAAAGAAAAATCTTTGGTCTTCCATTCTATCATTTTTGTCTGTAGTAATAAAAAAATACTGTTTCTGTAAAGTACACAGAAATTTGTGTTTGAAATATAATTGTGTCACGAAATGATCCTCGTGGAACGGTCCTTAACTGTAAAGAACTTACGACATCCTGATACGGGGTCACGTCGTAAGTAGGACGTTGAAACTCGTAAACTGTGATTATATGCAACATGAAATTCCTTTCTGAGTATTTTATGAACCTCTTGGATTATGGCTCGTTCGACCTGCTGCAACCACTCTCTGCCTCAAGTTTAATCAATCCTGCAAGAGGAGTTTTCGCCTTAGCACGACATAACCCTCTACTCAAGATTTTCATTATCAAAGACAATAAAAATTAGTCCTGAGGTTTTAATAAGTGTTATTATAAGATGATGAATTCAATTTTCTAAAACAAGTCACAAATGAATATTGAACTCTATTTCCATTCAAGTTTTCCGTGTGCGCACAGTGTCAAGAATAACAGACAATTTTGAAAGAGAATAACGCTTTATATTAGCATATGTAGATAAATTGACACAAACATTACAGTAAATTAAAAAAAAACTCACAATACAAATTCAGACTTATTTAATACTTAGTCTTTTCAAGCACAATGCCAGAGAACCACGTCTTCATCAATGGTTTAAACTCTTGTTATAGTAATATCAAATATTAAAACAAACGCATTTCTTTTATTTGCTTTTTTCTCTGGAGGGTAAAGCGGTTGACTAAAATCGGTGAATGGGAAAAATAAATTAGTATATGAGGGCTTGCAAAATACTTTCACAAGCATCGTGAGTGTTATAAGTTCACCCTTCCGAAAGCGATTTATTTTCCTAACTGCTACAAGAAATACTACCTCTCTCGTATTTAAAGTCATATAACAAACTAAAGGCTAAACAGTGTGAAATGTTAATGTATACATATATGCGATCTCTTTGAAGAGAATAGCAATTCTGAACCTGGTAAAACAAATTACGGGATATAACTTTTGTTTTCCATGGAATAAAAACAATGATTTGCTCCATGCATTGCACGATTTTGCTGCTGATATCTCACTCTTTCATTAACTGTGACGCAGGATTGGAAGATCAACAATTATATTTCTTGCTACAAAAGATGAAATTAAATTATAAATCGCAGGTCAAGAACCGCTGTATACAGAGTAAAAGACGCACGCAATTATTCAAATCACGAACGAGATTGTAACCTATATAGATTTTAGGTTATCTGCAGAATCGCATGAAATCTCTCATCTCCGCACAGTTTAGTAAGAGAAAAGCTAAATGAATTAAAATGAAAATGATTTGACAGTACATTAAATGTAATGCTAAGAATTGAATGCAACTGTGGTTGGTTGAGATAATTGTTTAACTTTTATGCAAACGAGATACATCTACATATATTGCACTGATTCTTCAAACATTATATGGCACATTAAAAGAAGATTATGGAAGAGAGCGTCATTTAGCTACTATTTTTTTTATAAACTCTGGAGCATTGGGAGTAATGTGTATCCTTAATAATTAAGTTCCATCAGAGATGCAAGCAGCTCACAAACAAGACACTTCAAGTCTATAGGTTACCTGGAAAGGCAAGTGTTTCAAAAGTGGGCGTCGTCTGTGCTGCTTTCGGTTGCCGCATGGTTTTCTTCTGGGCGTCTGCCTGAACTTGTGCTTCGACCTGCGCCGACGACTGGTGGTGGAAAGCAGCTAGCTCGGAGCGATGGCGAAGCGCGAGGGCCTCAGCTTCGAGCTGCTGACGCCGCAACAGTAACGCCAGCCTCTCATCTTCAGAACTAGCTCCGAGCATGTACCACATGCCGAAGTTTGGCCTCCCCGCGCTCCACTAGGACATAGATTCTGAGCGTTGCGACAGTAAAATCTTCTCATTCACTTCGTACTTTGAACTAAGAAATTCAATTGCGCGACGAGAGACGCGTCGCTAGACAACGTGACTAATAAATGGCATCGGCCTCCTATATGTATGTTTTCAACTGGATGTTAATCTCCATTACAGTTTCACTCATGGCCGACTAGAACACTTAAGTAGATGCGCAGCGTCAAGAATCATAATTAAAATATGTATTGGGCTAATATTTTACGTACATGATAGATTTATCTGCGGCTGATTTCTACAAACACGAAACAATGAGGTTAACACATTTCTGAATCAACACATTATTCTCAACAATGACTTTTGCCAATAAAATTGTTCATATTTGCCTGAAGTTCTTTCTAGAAGAAAGTGGTGGGTAAACTGACAAATGCATTCTGGGATGCGCATTGTTTAACATGACATTAAAAAATAAACATCATAGTCCTCAGTGCCACTTAGTGCCCAAACTATACAAGCAGGAGATAACTTGTTTAATAGGAAGTGCAATTTCATTCACTTTTAAACAAGAAGACTCCTAACTTGTATTAAAACAAAGTCTCGAAAACCTTTGAAAACTGTGTTTCCAGTTTCAGAATAAAACATTAGAGAGGTGAAAAAGTCTACCAAAAACCTAAGAAGATAAAACGAATGACAAAAAAGTATGACAAAACGTAAAATATTTACGAATATTTAACTACAGGCTCATTGACACAGTTTGTAAAACTATGTAGGAATTGGTATTCTACATATGGTGATTTGGTGTTCTAGTTTATGTCCACAGATAATTATTTTTTGACACTTGCAGAGCCGAAATGGCAGAAAAAGTGATTCAATTATTCACTGACAACAAGTGCGGTATCTGTTCATATAAAGACAACGTAATCACATATTCATTGGCTTTGTCGGGCTCAGAAAGAACTATGTACCTACTAATTTATCTCAATCGAATAAAAGTTCCTCTTTCTTGTCCTTATTTATATTTCTTTTTACACCATAACATTTGAACTATTGTTATAAAAACCACTCATTTTGGACATTCAAGAAGAGTCAGAAATCACAATCTGATGAAGATTGTCTAGGAACTCTCAAAAATACATGCATACTATTTCAGAATATATCTAAATTAATTGATGAACAAAAAATAAAACTAGTAATACTACAGAATGGCGCAGACTTCGAGAAAAATACAGTTTCGTATGCAGTTTTTGAGAAAATATTGTTTTTATAAGTTTTAAAATTGCACAAATTGCATGTAATATTGCACCAAAACTACTAAAATTTTAAGGAAATGTACATGACCTTAAAAAAAAGAACAAATTATGGACAAAACATTTTATTTGAAGAAAAAATCTTTATCTTTAATTTTGTTGCAGTAGGAAAAACCGGAAAAAATCAAATTTTTGACGTTTTCGAAAATTTAGAATTAAACGTGAAAATCGGACCTACACCACATTTATAACTGCATTTTAATATATTCTTATAGGAAATTTAAAGAACAAATTTGGAACATTGTTTGAAATTGAATTTTGAAAAAGTCCCAGGGTCTTATGTAAAGTACTCTCAAAAACTAATGAATGAAAATCGCAAAGCTTCGACCCAAACCAAATGCACAAAGTTCCTTCAATACTTTTTTTTCTTCAAAAATCTTATGCATGGTTTAGGCGCTAGTGTTGTTCACATACAACAGTCAGACGGACGGACAGACGTTTTGAAAAAAATACAACATTTTTTTGGTATCAGGGGACCCCAAAACGTGGGTTTCCGCTGAAGTCTCGAAACAGATTTTCCGCATTATTACATAACTTTCCCTAAACTACGTATATTACTCCGTATATACGTACGTATACGGGAAAGTAAAAAATTGGAAGTGTATTATAGAAAATCTTGGTTCCAAATTACTTTAAAATTGCCTTAAAATTACTCGAATACTTTATATTTCGAAAAAGTGCGTATGTTCTCATTTAAAGATCTAATTCTGAACAACAAATTTTAATCAGAATAAAAATCTCAATTTTCAATACTTTAATCGTAGGAAGACGCCAAAAAATGTTTAAATTTTTGCTAATTCATATATATTGCAACGAAAGTGAGGCCTGGGCCATATTTAAGCATTCCGTAAAGGAGTATCCGAAAACAAAAGTTAAACCAACAAAATTATGAGATATTCGTGATAAAAAATTCAACATCGCCTTGAGACTTCATGGAAAGTACACCCCAAATTAATTCTTTGTAAGTTCAAGAAGCCGCGACATCAGCCAGATCGATTCTGAATTACACATTTCGGAGAACGGTGTGCTTACGATTTAAGCCGCTAGGGTTGTTCACAGACAGATGATTAGACAAACAGACGTTTGCCGTAAATCAATTTTTTGGTATCAAGGAACCGTAAATTATGGATTCTGACTACACATGTAAGAGAAAATAACTTACTCCATATGGGAATAAAATTATGCACGTTTTCGGTGTCAAGGATCTTCAATACAAATTTTTCTGACGAAAAATGCTATATTTTCTGCAGTGTTATTTCAATTTCTCTATACTACTTATGTAGTACGAAAGAAAGTTAATTATTGCTCATGCCATCATTTATAATACTATCGTGGTAATTGTGGAAAACGAAATTAATGACTGATCATAGTATAAGAGGCTAAAGCGCGTTTAACAGAGTAATTTTTTCATCATTTTTCGTCGGTATAGAAAAGTGACAGACCAAACGGGATGTAATTTGTACTTCCCGTTTACATCTCATGGTGCATTTTTTGGTACACATTTCATATACTCGTCTGACTACAGCAACGTTCTCTTGTTTACTGCGCTTGTGGTGTGGTTGTTCCTTTTGTACAATTTTGACAGCGTTCTATTTGTTGTGTTGTATTGTGAAGTGATAAGCCAGTTATAAATAAAGCATGCACTATGTTCTAATGTAGTCTCCTTCTTTGTTCAGTCCTTAAGAAATCTACCTTAATTTTTTACCATATATTTACCATAGATGAGATACTAAACTGTTACGTCACGATTATATGAAAAAAACAACGAAATGACATGTAAAACTGCGGATCTCGCTTATTCAGTTTCGGTACCGAAACAGTACGTCGTAGAAAATGAATGTCCCTTTTCCATTTTTTGTACAGAAAAATGATGAAAAAAGGACCATAAAACAGGCTTGAGAAAAATGTCGGATTATTACGTTGTATAAGAAACCGTTGACACCCAATCCTCTGCGTGTATTACTGCTTGTTGCTTAAGAAATTTACGACGATAAACAAGATTAAAGATTATGGCAAATTTGGATTATCTGAAGCATATTCCTGACGTGGCCTTTCAGTAGATACATTCCAGGCTTCGTCTGGATGACCGAGGGAAACCACGAAAATCCTGGGCAGAATGGCCGGCACGGGGATTGAATCCGGGCCTCCCGAATGCGAAGTGAGTGCGCAACACCCTGAACCACTGCCCCTGGTACACTACAACGCACATCGTGCAAAGCTCAGAAGTTATGTGAGCCGAGCAATGCAACCAGAGCTGTTCCAGCGGAATTATAGAGAAACATCAATGGACACATGCGGGGAGGGGGAGAGCAAAGCATTGTGTCAAGATTTAACTTGCCTGGTGATTCCTACTTCGTAGCTGGATGGCGCAGAAACTAAAAAAAAATACTACGTATAATTAAATTGATGCGTTAAATTAAATTGAGATCCAATATGAAGCCATTGTCTTTATAAAACAATAGTTTATAAAATGCGGAATGTTTGCACGGGTCCAGCTAGCATTATTATATTATTCCATGTAGACGCATTAGTAAAATTGAAATGAAAATTATGCTTAGCTTTTGTAAAAGATATATGGACCAAATTAAATATTTGAAATTAAAAATCATACACAATTCGCTCGCATTGCTAACAGAATACAATACACAACCATAACATAAAATATATCCAATAAAATGGGATTGTTCGACATCGTGCCAAAGAGTTGAAATCAGAGAATTCAAAACACTTCACACATCAACAATCCTTAATTACCTTTAATTTACTACAAGCATGAATCGCTGCACGTTAATCCTACGATTATGCAGCGCTCGTTTATATGGAATTTTATTGTTCAACGCTGGTCATTTCACGGACTTTGCACCATCGCGTGATATTGATTAGATCCGAGTGCCACGCGCGCCCATTTATTGCTGATTCAGCTGCCAGGGAACTACAAATACTATTCCGGAGACAAATAAATCGAATTCATTGAAATCTGTTTAATAGAAGAACGTCTGGTGGAAAGTTAACACATTATTACAGATCAGCAAATCACTATATAATATATACATGCAGATCTGTACCATCCTAGAATTCCTAACACATGCCCCAAGTGGTACGAACACACATCAAAACCGGTGACGTCTGTTGGCTTCTATACAATATTGAATGACAAACAAATTCAAACGGATCGCCCGAAAGGTGGCAAAGAAACCGGATATTGTTATATGGGATTTGCAGAACAAACCATGTCTACTTGTATATTTGGCGGTGCTTTGCGATCAAAACGTCGTAACCAAGAAGACAGAGAAATGTCTTAAATGCAAGAGTTTGGAAATCGAGATCAGACGAATGTGGGGCGTAAAAGCACAGGTCGTACCGATAGCCATTGTGGAGCTCTGGAATTTGTTTCGCAAAATTTGTGTAAGAACTTGGCTTAACTCCCAGGTCATTCAAAAGACTGGGAAGTGCAAGAAATTTCTTTATTTGGAACAGCCCACATGTTGCACAAAGTACTGTAGAGGCACCGACTGTCCCTTGCTCTGCTCTTTAAGTATCTGGTTGCAAATTGGAGTATATTTTATATTCAGTCGACTCTTAACACCTTTAGTTCTGATGAAGTGGAAAAAAATAATGATAATGTTATCGAAGGATATTAACAAACAAAACAAAAAGCAGATCGAGTCGCGTCGAAAGACACCTGGCTTGTTCCAAAAGTGG